TTTGAAAGTCTTCTTCCAATACTTGGATGAAACCATGTCTTAAAGGACACATCTATCAGTCCACCTGTTTTGCATAGATAACAGCAATAAAGTGCCATTCATTGACGTAATCGAAGTTCATGGGAGTCAATGAAATCGATACAACATTATGTTCAGGTTATCGCAGCACGGTGAGCGTTGAACGACCCAGATTGGACCAGCTCCGTAATCAATATTTTATATTAATAACAACACGTAATTATGAGGGAAAATAAAAGTGTACTTACTACCCACGCAGTAATTAGCTCGGAAAAGGAGAAAAGGTCGAATTAAAAAGAAGTCTCATACCGTGAAGGTTTCTTTCATTAAACTTCTCAATCTAATAATGGCGCCTAGCGAAACTTCAACCTAATTAAGTAGCCACTATACCCCAGACAAAAGCCTTTGCCAAGTCTGTTATGAACAACCTAGGACATCTAAAGAGCCTCATTAAAAGTTACCGAAGCGTAAAATTACAAGCAAACTGAATCCAGCGATGCAAAGCCCACTTAATTGTGGAACATTTTATTAAATGTCACGGCAGATAAAATAGGACCGTACTCCAGGATGGTAAAGGTCAAAGTTGAATTAAAACGTGCCAAGATTGCACGAGGAATATTAAAAATGCTAGGCTACCTACCTAATAACTTATACGAGCAGTACTTTTATAGCAATAAATATTTAATGCTAATAATAAAATTGCGGCGAGGATAGTGGAAGAGAATACTTAAAATATTAAGATTAAAACGACTGACATGGAAAATACTGGAAACGTGACAATTTCCTCATGCATTAATCTGGAAGACTATTCTAAATTGGACACGAAGTCTAATAATAGATGGAAGTATAGAACAGACAAGTCCCAACTACACAGATCTGCAACCCACGTACGAATGGAAAATGGATTTTAACGTGAACAGCATGCCTTTTCCTATTGAGAGCATGAGGACAAATAACAACAGTTGTTAAAAGTTATTACCGAGAGTAATAAACAGGAAATTATTAGAGTAACATTTATATATACACAGGAGAATTTTTATAGCTGATCGAAGGTCGCAGAAGAAAATACTTGAACTTCTATAGTATCTTCTGGAATTTGTTTAAAATCCTTAAGCAAGAAGAAATATAGTGATAGTGGGTGACCTTATATAAGGTGCTCTATAATTATCTGCCACGGCTTTAATGGGAGGTAGTGTTATGTTTACAGATTACAATTGTGAAGAAATTTCGTACCCCGGACCAGTTAATTACATAAAGTAATTAAGTAAACATTGACTACATTCTGCATAATGT